GAAAAGAAAAGAAACATTAAGTGTAGAAATCGTGTAGCATTATATTTCCTTACATTCGATTTCTTTATATTCAAGCTCGGTTTTGCAAAGCTTATCTCGTGTCTACATAAGCCTATGTCTACACAAAAGTTATACTTGTAAATTCTAGCCTACTACTGTCCTAACAAATAAATATTTGCAGCTAAATAAGATTGATTTCTATAGTATTTAGCTTAATTTCTATAGATATATAAATCAACAAAAACTAATCAACATCTGTAATAGTTCTGAATCAAAATACAACAAATATACAATACCATCAAATTTGATTTATTTTCGTCTCAAAATAAAATCCTGACTTCACCATTTAACGAAAAAATATAGTTGTATAAATTTCTTAAATAATCTTTATTTTAGTAAAGCGCGAAAACCTTATTATATCCCGGTTAAAAATGCAAGATGAAGAATCGGTAAAACATGCTCTAATGATATATATACTATTAATAAACCTAACAAGGCATCCCACATATTAATTTCATGAATTAATTAAGGTAATTTAATTGTTTGGGAGCTAACTCTTAAGACTAATCATAAGAATTAATTATTGGAAGATTGTTGTTAATGAATGACTTTTGGACAGTTGGATTTTGATTAAATTAAACCATTGAGTCATATTTTTGTTAGAAGTAATATTAATAACTACTTTTACTCATTCACCTACTATAATCGTTATACTAGACAATAAATTACAAATATTACACAATCTAATGTTAATATAATCCTAAATTACAAATGAAATGATCTCATACTATTATGTCTCGTTTGATTGGGGAGATTAAACCATTTTAATTAAATAATTGAACTTTATTTGATGTTTGGTATCCCAACAACTTACCGATCGATCCATAAATAGTTTTTTGTTAGACTTCCTCGTATCAATAAAATAATGAGATTTTTATTTGATTATTTACTCTTATCTTACAACCAAACAGGACCTTATATTATAATAAATAAATGCAATTCTTCCCAATCTTATCAATATATTCTAGAAGTAATTGCATTTATTAGCACTCACTCTTGTCACAATTTTGTGGTGATAGTAATAACTAATAATAAGTAAGAATAGTGGATAGGAAAAGGGTTTGTAGGTCACATTTATACCATGGGGGTTGGTTCTTGAACTTGTGATTTATTTATTTATTATTATTTTTTTTAAATAAATCAAATTTTGTGATGACATTCAAATGGTTTGTGTTCAAGGATAACAAGGTCTTGAAGATGTGATGGTGGTGAAGTTCATAAAGCAATTTCATTGGATGCAACACAAAATAAACTCCATGGCAAATTGTGAATTTCAAATCGAACTGAGACTCGTTTCATTAACATATTTAAGATCAACATATCGGGGTCACCTCAAATCAAGACTCGAAGACTTTGAATCCATTAAACCGATTTTATAATTCCGGAAATATTTAAAAAATATGCAAATTATGAAGATGCAACTAGTTAGATTGGGATCAAAGAGATGTGACAAACTTGTCTCAAAGTGCTAATTAAAGTCAATCAAAGTGGGCTATAAGTGTAAAAAAATTATTTAATCAATGGTCCCCTATATTTATTCCATATTGCTTTTAAGCTTTTTGAATAATGCACAAGAGTTGATCACTACACACTAGATAATACAAGACAAAATAAAAGCATTATCATTTACTTCCTAATATTTTTTCATTTTTATATATAGTCACCCATTCATATAATTCATGGGGGGCCAATCCAACAAGTGCTCAAATTTTTGGTCTTGGTAGTAAATACATATACTTCCTCAAATTTATATTTTAAATGTGAAATTAGAAATTAATCGAAACGACACACGAACACACTCTTATTCGTTTATTTCCCTAAAGAAAGAAACAATATACTTGATAAAAACTGGACAAATTACATCCACGTCCCTGAGTTAAGGTATAATTACAAAAAAAAAGTTCTTTTTGAGAAATTACATCCAACCCCTGCAGTTTCAAAAATTCACATCCACCCCCTACAAAAGGACGTTAATGTAAGAAATCTACAAATTGAGGGGTGGATGTAATTATGTAAAAAAGAAGAGTTTTTTCATAAATATTTTTGCAGCACAAATTTTGCTCGGCCCATATAAATAAAAGCCCGTTATGTAAAGAGTAACAAAGCCTAGTATAAGAAGTTCAAAAATCACAAATTCTCAAAACCCCCCAAAAAAAAAGTGGACTTGGTTTTGGGCCCCCAAGTTCACCCTTCGTCTTCTTTTCGCCGTCTTCCGCCATCGCCGAACACCCACAGAAACACGCATTCACACAAAGTCGCGCCCATACATTGTTCAAACCTACGGCACTACATTTGTTCGTTTTGATTTCATTTTTAGTATTGAAAATATTGAATTTCTTTTTTTCCTTTCTCGGGGTCGGTTCTCATTATCCGAGGTGGGAGCTCAAATGCATACGCTGGCCACTTCGATAAATGTATAAAGCGCTTGGCAAGCAACGACTCATATATCGTTCTCGCATCGCCAGCTACGTGAAAGCCGGCCTCATCGATCAGGCAATCCAAGTGTTCGACGAAATGTCTCAATCAGACTGCAGAATGTTTTCGGTCGACTACAATAGGTTTCTCGGCGTTTTGATTAAGAACCAGCGTTTCGGGCTGTCTGAATACTATTACGAGTCGTTGAATTCAAAAGGGTTCTCTTTGAATTCGTTTACTTACTCAAGATTCATTTCCGGGTTGTGTGAACTTAGAAACTTTGAGCTTATTTCTCGACTTTTTGCGGATATGGATAGTCTAGGGATCGTGCCTGATATTTGGGCTTTTAATATTTATATGTATCTCTTGTGTAGTGAGAGTTTAGTGGACGATGCTTTGAAAATTTTGGGATTAATGGGAGAAAAGGGGCGGGAGCCCGATGTAGTGAGCTACACGATTATGATTAGCGGATTCTGTAGGATTAAACTTTATGATGAGGCAATTGAACTGTGGAAAGTGATGATCAAGAAGGGATTAAACCCGGATAATGAGGCATGCAGGGCACTTGTGCTTGGGTTATGTGACAGTGGTAAAGTTGATTTGGCTTATGAGCTCACCGTAGGGGACATGAGGGAAAAGGTTAGCTTTAATGTAGTAATATATAATGCACTTATATGCGGGTTTTGTCGAGTAGGTAGGATTGATAAGGCACTAGCAATTAAGAATTTTATGAGGAGAAATGGTTGTGAGCCTGACTTGGTAACACACAATGTGTTGTTGAACTATTGCTGTAATGCACTAATGCTGGAGGAGGCACATAAATTGATCGCGAAGATGGAGAGGAGTGGGATGGAACCTGATATATATAGCTATAACGAACTTCTAAAAGGTCTCTGCAAAGCTAGTAGAGTAGACAAGGCGTATTTGCTGCTGGTTGACAAGATGGAGGCGAAAGGGTTTGTGGATGTTGTATCCTACAACACAATTGTTAGTGCTCTTTGCAAAGCTGGTCGCTCGGGTGAGGCGTATAAGCTCTTGGGGGAGATGGGTAGGAAAGGAGTTGCTCCAGATGTGATTACGTTTACCATTCTCATAGATGCTTTCTTGAAAAAGGGCAACTCCGTTATAGCCAAGGACCTTCTTGACCAAATGACAAAGATGAATCTATTTCCAAGTCTTGAATTGTATACAACCATTGTTGACCATCTATGTAAGACTGGCAGAATTAAAGCAGCTCGTGGTATTTTCCATGATATGGTGGAGCAGGGAATTCGGCCCGATGTGGTGTCGTATAATGCACTTATTTGTGGATGCTGTAGGGCCTTTGAAGTCAGTGAAGCCCTGCATCTATTTGAGCAGATGCAGAGTAGTGGTGTACATCCAGATGAAGTGACTTTCAAATTGATCATTAGAGGTCTTATAAAGGAAAAAAAGCTTCCGTTGGCTTGTGGAATGTGGGATCAAATGATGGAGAAGGGATTTACCCTTGATAGTTATTCGTCGGAGACTCTGATAGATGCCATCAATTCAAAAGAAGTATCCTGAGGTAACTACCCTTAACTATTTGTATGTATGCATGTTATACTCCTTTATTTTTTCCCTCGTTAAACAGTACAGTGCATCCAAATGTGTTATGTGGCAATCAGTTTTTTATTTACCACCTGCATTGCAAACTGGTAGGTGCATATTTGACTCAGTGAACAGTGAAATCGAATTAGAAATAGTGATTTAAAAAAAAAATTGCAAGTTAATGGTTCTTTATAACAGGATCTAAATGCTGAAGTAATGAGTTCTCTAACTTTGTCTACTACAGTTCTTTTACAATGAGGTGTAATATCACTTGCCTAGTTAAAATGTTATGTCATGATCTTCTTGTGTTTCCTGGACTTATTTTTTCCTTTCATTTTGGTGAATACAGAAAGAAGTCTTTATCCGTTTCTTGATGAATAGCAATTGGTACGACCGAAAAACCAGGCCGTTTTGGTCATTAGGAGTGGCCTAACACTTGCTTAGATAGTGCCAGAGTTGGATGCAGCAGGGACATCTTTTTGCGTCCTTGCCTTAAATTGAAGGTGAAGCTGTTCTCGATTTTATTCTCACCCCCCATGTTTCTTTCACTTTTTTTTGTGATTAATGATCTTCTTGTTCTCTATCACTTAGTGGAATGTCAGCTCAATTGAATAATATATATTGTTCAACATTTCTACTTTTTGCCTTTGATCTAAATTCAATGTTACCGTACTATATATGTGCTGTAGTCAGCTCACTTATCGGGAACTCCAACTATTGAGTTTATCACTTATGTTTTCGTTTTATGTTTGTTTGTTTAGTATTCTTCCTTGTATTAGCTCCAAAGCACAAAATTTGAACCAGGAAATACGAGAGCAAACATTGAGGTTTTGGTTGTTTCTTTATATTTAAATTTGATCTGCTATAATTTCATAATCTTCGTAGCAGCTTCATGGTGCATCCGTGCATGTACTTTGTTGAGAATCGTTTTTGACAATCAGTTTTATCTGCTCACATACATTTTACGAACTCATTTTAAGTGCATTTCTGGACATTATTTATTACAATTTCCCACTATAATGAAATAATTCTATTTTTCTGCAGCTAATTTATGTGGGATTAGGAGCTCTGCATTCGATAGAGAGCAAAAGGTTCAACGTGGTTCAAACTTGCGGAAAGTCAATACTCGAGGAAAAGCAAAAATCACTAGCAACAAATATGATAGTCGGATTGGTACGTTTATTTTTTATTACTTCTATAAAATGTATGGTTCTATCTACATTCTTGTTCAACTAGTGAAGTTCTATTCTTTTCTTTTTGCCAACTCAGATATCGGTGGTATATTGAGAACCATGAGCATTGATTGGTCAAGCTGTACATAGCAGTGATGTCGCTATAGATGAATGAAATGTCGGAGAAACTTTCAGAAGACACTATCAAAATAGCAAGGCAAATGAAATTACAAACGAAACATGTTTGAAGAACACGGAGACCATAGGTAAGTTTGTTAAGGCGTCCGGGACACTCACACTGGAGACGATTTTAGGGCAATACTCTAAGCAACGTGTGTGTGTGTGTGTATATATATATATACTACATACCTACGTACGTGCATGAACGGTAGTTAATTAGCGTTCTTATTTCCGATAATAAATATTGCATTCTTGAGGCTGCCGAAAAGTTCTTTTCTTGCAGCAACTGTTGATCTGAGAAATAAGCTGTCTTTTCTTGAATTGGCATCACTTGTGTTACTTGCCTTGCATGCTTAACTAAAGTCTCTGATTCTTTTCCTCTCCAGGAATACTAACTGCCACTTTTTTCTTTATTCTTTTTTGTCCAAATAAAAATCAATTTACACTCTTTTAGCAGTCCATTTTTTTCAGTCTTTTATTTTTTTCCGACTCCAAAATGTTCCGCCAGAGAGAATCGAACCCCCACTTTCTTCCGCGCCACAACGACCCAATCATTGAATTCCCCTCGCTAACACATCCACCACCCCCACCGCCACCACGTTCAAAGCCGCCGAAGCCACACCGCCAAGGCCGAACATCGGTGGAGCCACCCTATGCCCCCACGCCTCAGCCACCGCATCAATCAGACCCACCACCTCAACCCAGCCAAGAATTTCAGCCACTGGCCTCCTCTGGAAGAAGTCACCATCTGGCTCAACATGGCGGTCAAACAGGCGGCAACCACCACCACCACCCGTCTCAACATGGCGCCCAAACGGGCGGCAACAACCCCCGCCACCCTTCTCAACATGGAAGCCAAACGGGCGGCAACCACCACCACCACCACCACCACCCATCGTTCCTGCGGGCCCCGGCCAACCGCCAGACGAGGCCCATCGCCTGGCTAATCGCAGCATTCTGCGCGCTCTTCTGGGTGATCATAATAGTAGGGGGGCTCATAATCCTAATAGTCTACCTCGTTCTCCGGCCGAGAAACCCTAGATTCGAAATCTCCACCGCCACACTCAACGCCGCCTACCTGGACATGGGCTACCTCCTCAACGCCGATGTCACCGTCCTCGCCAACTTCACGAATCCCAACACCAAAGTCACCGTTGACTTTAGTTACGTCATATTGGATCTTTACCACGACAGAAACTTCATCGCCACGCGTTATATCGAGCCCTTTTCGGTGGTGAAGGGAGAGTCGAGATTTGCTGACGTGCATTTGATGGCTAGCCAGGTCAGGCTATCGAACGAGCATAGCCTTGAGCTCAAGAAACAGATGGATGGTGGAAGAGTTGAGTTTGAGATTAGGGGCTTGTTTAGGGCTAGGTCTAAATTGGGGGGAATATTCCGGTACTCTTATTGGTTGAATGCACATTGCCAGATGGTGGTCGGTGGCCCTCCCGCCGGAGTTTTGATCGGAAATAAATGTGTCACAAAGAGGTGATGTTAATGAGATTAGTATTATTATTATTAGTTATTATATTTGATCTTGGATTGAACATTCCTTTTTGTTGTTTTTTTTTTTTTTTTGTTTTTTTTTGTTTTTGTTTTTGTTTTTGTTTTATTGTGAATTAGTGGAAATGAATTCTATCTTTTTAGTCCATTATTCAATCTTTCAGGCCGAAAAGAGAATCCAATGGTTTTTAATATTATGATATAGAATTAAAAAATATATAGACATAAAATTCAAAAAATAAATATAATGCTATTAATTAGGGTAAATTGTTTTAGGAACAATGTAATGATTTATTGTGGCATAGCATGTTTCTAGGAGTGTATTGCAAACCTCACTTGTATTAATCGTACGTAATAAATGTTGTTTCAGTTTTAATAGTGCCGTTTCAACTTCATACGTGGTTTTAACCCTTTTCGAGCTTGAATTTGACGAAATTCATAGTACGGAATTTGTAGTTATTTGAGTTAACTTTATAATCCAACTTGAGTCACCAAAATTAAATGTTGGATAAGAAAGATATGCATGAATCAAGTAACACTCTCCACAACTTCGACGTTTTGAGTTTACTAAAATACAAAAGGTAACTTATTTATCCATAACTTTATCACCGGACATCGAATCTATCTGATTTAAGTTGGATTACTAACGCAAATGACAAATAGTTTTCAGTTGCTGAAAATTTTACATATTTTAATCATCATTTGATTTTGAAAGCACCTTATCGCATATCATTATTCGTGCTTAATATATAAATTTATAATACCAATCAACAAACATGCATAAAAACACTCGCTAAAAAAAACATGCACAAACGTACACGTACAAAACCAGACGCAAGAGTGCATTCGCAATAACGCTCGGGAAAACACGAACTACAAACTAGGACTTGAATACGCATCAACACACATATGAAAAAACACTTGCTCAAAAAGATATTGTTGAATGCAGAAATAACACTCAATACATTTATATTTACATGGATTTTTGTTTAGATTAATTTATATAATTTATATTCTAATACCAGGTTAACTAAAGCACATAAAACAATATACAGTTAAATTTCTAAAATTAAAGGGGTCTTAAGATATAGGTCCCTGGTGACAAAACTTATTAAAACTAAATGACAAGTACTCCAACTAAACATTTCCTTCATATCCTTCATAAAATTCATTCCAAAAATGTCATTTCACTCACCAATTCGAAATTTACATGTAGTAAATTCAAACTGCATTTATCATTTTATTTGTACTGCATTTAATAGTTTCATATTACATCTAACATTTTTTACAGAATATATTTTTGTAATTTTCTTTTCTTTCTTCATTTTAGCATTTATACATTTTTATAAAATAAAAATAAAAATCTTTTTTCCCATTTTTTTCTACATAATATTGAAAATTACAATAACAAAAGCATGCTATTTTCTTTTTCATTTTTTAATCCATTTTTTTCAATTTTTGTGTAGTAGACTATTGTATACTATACGGTATACTATAGCGTACTATATAGTATAGTATAGCGTACTATATAGTATATTACGATGTACTATGGTGTACTATTAAACCTAGCCGCCAACAACTTCCAGCCTTTGTCAACCCTAGTGGCTAACGCAGCCGTCAACAAACCCTAGCGGTCAACAGTCACAACCACCGCAACCATAGTCACCTACCAACTTTGAGAAAACCTAGATGTGCCATTTTGAACTCAAACCAAGTAAAATCTCTTAAAAGATAAGATAATCAGATGCAATTTGTCAAAAAAATGCTTTCAATATCCCCACCATAACAGCCGACTCTTCGATTCACAGTGACATCAGACACCGTAGACAACTATAGTCATTTTGAAAATCCTAGTTTTGCTATTTTGAACCATAGCACTGCTAGTAAAGATAGACCAGTCACCGTCCTCACCGTGTACGCAACTAAGCCCACACATACCATGAATTAATCCCCACAACCAGCCCTAGCCACCGCTCAAAAAGCAACGAAAAGATCTATATCGGCACACATCTCGCCAACCCTTCCCTGATGCAATCGCCACTTCCCCCGTCTAAGGCGAGTCAGGGATATCGGCGCCGCCGCGCAATGGTGTTTGAATTAGCCACCACCATCGGTTGCAAATCTGTTGTTCTGCTGCAAACTTTTTAAAAATCAGATCTACTAAGGAAAGAGAAAAAAAAGAAAGAAAAAGAGGGAAAAATGATAAAGAAAGAGAGAGAGAAGAGGAGTCGGACGGCCGAAAGAATAGAGAGAAATGGGAAAAGTAAGAAATAATAGAATGAAAGAATAACGTGATTTTTTATTAGTTACATTAAGAATAGAGTTTCTTTCGTAATTTAACCTTACCTCAGAATCCATAAGGTGGCCGAAATTTACCCTATTAATTAATTAAGCTAAAATTTGAAATGAGAGATTAGAACAGACAAATGATCTTATTTATCATTGGAAATATTTCAAATGGTATTTGAACATAAATTTAGTAAAACTGAGAAATCAATTAAAGCAAAAAACCACAACAAAAACTTGTGTACAAAACCCCATCAAGTGTAGTCCTTTCCTCACTCAGAACAATTAACTAAGAATATGATTATATGGTGGTGGTATAATGTACAACTAATTTAAACCGACTCGGGGAGGAACGATTGTGGTATTAACTATGGTTGTACAGATTTTCAAGACCTCAAAAAAAAAAAAAAAAAAAAAAAAAAGAGAGAGAGAGAGAGACTCGAGGAATAAAAAAGAATCAAATAAGCGGTTCGGAAAGTTCCATCTCGTTGGCCGTTTGTTGAGGCAATTCAGAGCGTTGAGAGCCAACATAATCCAAGCCAAGCCACTGCCAAGGCCAACAGACGTACCTATGCCTGTTTAGTGCAGTTGTTATCGTTGTTGCTGAGGATGATTCGCGTGTATCGAGTTCGTCGAGTTGACGAGTCAACTCTTCGACTCGATCCCTCAGCCTCGAAGATCTCATGTCAGCTAATCTCAACGACTTTTCGGCTGCATCTCTTGCTCCCATTGCAGCTTCTGCTGTTTCTTCTTTGAACTTCAGCTTCTTTTCCGACTCCATTACAGCTTGCCTTGCTTCTTCAAGCTCCTGCCTTACTGATGCCAACTACACAGAAAGAATCGCAAAAATCGAAATTTATTCAAAATGGTAAATAAACAGAGGACGATTAATTTGTACTGTCTTTCGTTAGGTCGCCTTTGGATGGAAGAGCTAACAATTGCAACTTCATAATAAAAAAATCAATCGAGTTTGTTCAGATGAATTCATTTCGTAATGAATTTCGGATTCTATAGCGATCAATTCTCAATACGACATTTAAAATCGTCCCATCCAAATGCAACACAGGTGAAAAAGTAATTTGGGTCTTAATTCACTGGAGCAGTAAGTTAATCTCATTATCTACGTACGACTTTTCAGTTTTCAGTTCCAATGTAAAAAGTCGGAAGATTATATACGATATCCAAAATCTTTCTCACCTTAGTAATAATCAAGGTCAAAAAACTATTTTGATACAGCAGTGCGATAAGCAATACTCGTGCGAATTCGTGATCATAATCTCGGAAGCTACCATATAATTTTATTACCTATATATTCGGTTGCAGATAGATTCACAGAATAAAAGAGACATCGAGCAGATAAAATCAGTCAAATCCACGAAGATGAAAATACGAGTGATAACTGATGAGTCGAAAGATAGCATCTGAAGTATTTTAATTAAATAATACCTGTGCAACATAGTCTTGTTCAACTGCTTTCCCCGCATCAGCTTCTTGCTGCGCTGCTACTTTCCACCGCATGATTTCTTCTTCAGCAGCAGAAATATCCATCATAAGCCCTTCAACCTTTATAACAAAATAATTATCAAACTATATAGTATACGTAATTCCAGACCATAGAAATCGATAGGAAATTTCAAATGGCTGATAAGAAAATTGAATTCTCGAAACCTACATTTTCATTAGCCACTCTTTCCTTCTCCTCGAGCTCTTCTACACGTTGTTTCCACTGATTAAGTTCCTTAGCTTGAGCATCCGTTCGCTCCTTATATAAATTTGACTCTGCCCTGATTAGAAAAAGGTTTATTACGTGTAACTATAGCTTCGGAGAAAGGTGCAACTTAGTCACGTGAGCAAGTCAACTTATCGCCACTCGTGATTTCAATTTCAACAAAACTAATTTGAAGACAACAAGTCAACTTACTTTGTGTTACTTAACAGATATGTAGCAAATTTGAGTGCTCAAATCAATATTATGAAGATTCTAGTTTTCGAGCATTCATAAATAGAAGCTAAAAACGGGAGCTCGAAGATTCGAAATCCATCGCACGGAATTATTCAATTATGCTCAACATAATTTGTGTTACGGGTTTGAAATCCTTAGATCCAAATCCTTCAACGAAATACAACCTTACGATTTTTGCTCAATCAATTAGTCATAAGAAACATCGGTAGAGAGTCCTACTACACGAGTTCTCTAAAACATTTGATACCACAGCGCAATAAAAATTTGAAAAAGAGGTACCTTAGTTCCTCCACCGAATGCTTTAGCTCGATGATCTCAAGCTGAGACTGCTTAATTATGTTCTCGAGCGCACTTGCCTAACATCAATAACATAGATTAACAACTGCACAAGTGAAAAATCAGCACGTTAATTAATGTTCCGTAATTCACATACCAGAGCATATACTTCGTCTTCGTCTCTCTCTTTAGAACCCACTTCTCCCTTAGAAGCCTCGATTTTGCTAAACTTATATTCGATTCCAGCCTCTTTCAAACCATTTTCTGCAGCTTTAAACAATTTATTGGTCTTGGACGACATATCAACCGACATTCGTTGGGACAAAGTACTTCTTAATAACGACCCAATTTGTTCTTTCTCGTTCGTTAATTGGGAAACAGTTTCATTTAGCCGTTTCACTTCATGACTTCTCTCATCCACCAAATTCCTTATTTTTTCAACAACGTTTTTACTCAACTCATACAGAGACTCCATTCCCGCTAAAGACGCCTTAATATTTTCCTCCATATTCGTTTCTTGAGCAAGGAACAAAGATTCCGACAATTCCGAGAACTTATTAACATCAACGATTTTCATAACTTCACACATTTCTTCGTGCACTTTCGACACATAACTAAGTTGATCAACCAACAAGGGCCTTTGCATCTCCATCTTCGACTCGTAGTCACTCACAGTTAGCCTCAACCTCGAAAGTTCGCTCTCCATTACGTCTTGCTTCTCACAAGACCCTCTTTCCAATTCAGCTAATTTCTCATTACTCTCGTTCAACGACCGCTTCAAACTCTCGATTTCCTTGCCATTCTTCGCCACCTCATCTCTCAGCCCACTAATCGTGGCCTCGAGCTGCGAAACCTCGATGGCAATCTCGTAATTCCTCTGGTCAACCAACTCACGAGCCTCGTTCCTCGACTTGACGCTCGATTCCATCTGTCTAAGAAGCTCCTCCACGATCTCGTTTGTCCTCTTAATCACACCGTAAGCCACTGCAGGCAATCCCGAGTACTTACTAGACTTCGGCAAACCGTTCCCTCCGAAATCCTTGTAACTACTCACTTTTCTCGAAATCTTCTCAATCCCACTCACTAACATTGAAGACCCCGTCTCCATTTCAACCCTAGTCGACTCCCTCGCTTTCCGAATCTCCTCTAGCTGCCTAAAAACCTCGTCCTTCTGCCTCACTGCATCCTCTTTCAACTTAATTTCCTCACTCAACTCCCCACCGACGCTCTCCAATTTCTTCGAAACCTCCTCCTTTCCGCGCAGCGCCTCGTCGCGCTGGCGCGTGCACTCGTCCCGTTTCTTAATCGCCTCATGGCACAGCACTTTGAGCCGATTAAATGAAACTTGGAGATCGTTCTTCCCATTCTCCGCCGCCTCACGAGCCGCTCTCTCACGGTCGAGCTCCGCCAGAATCTCCCTGAACTTCTCGACGGTTATATTCTCCGGGGTTTTGATATCAATAGGCACCGGATCATCAGCCTCGACATCGCTCAATACGGCGTCGTTTTCCTCATCACCGGCGCTAGACATGGTTTCAGGATTACGTAAAATACACGCGCTATAGTTGCCCCCCGAATTGTGAACTCCCCACTACAGAATACAGAAGATCTTCGACTAAGAACTCAAAACCCCGCCATAAAAAAAAAAGCAAAATCGATCGCCCAAAAAAATGAATTGAACGAAACTGGGGCTCTTCTCGATTGGTTTCTTGTCAATTAGGGGAGGAATTAATTTAATTGGAACCCAGAAAAGCGAGAATTGAAATTGACCCAGGATTAAGGATTAAGGAAGAAGATGAATTCAGGTTAAGGAATAAAGGTGCGAGAGCAGGAGATCGTACCCGCAGAGAAATAGGAAAAATAAAACCCAGTAGAATATTAAATAATATATATATATATATTTACAGATCAGATTTCAGATCGACCGTCTCACATTTTGTCATGCTTTTATTACATTAGTAAAATTGAAACGACATTTAACATTTCAGTATGGGATGTGATAGACGTCGTTTGAACTTTAATACGACTGTTTCGACTTCAAACGTGATTTTGTTCATTTTTTACTCCAAATTTTGCAAAACCTGAAAGATAGGATTTGTAGTATTCTGAGTTAGTTTTTTAATCCAACTTGAATCACCAAAATTAGATATCGGACGAGAAAGATATACATGAATCAATGGATACTGCCCACAACTTTGATGTATTGAGGTATCTAAAATTCAAACTGTGTCACACGACATCCAATCTAGCGGATTTAAGTTGCATTAGAAAATTAACCCAAATGACTACAGATTTCGTGTTTCGAATTTTGCCAAATCAAAATAGAAATATGTCAAAATCAGGTTCGAAGTCAAGACGACATTTAACATTTCAGTATATAGGTATATATAGTTTTAAATTTATCTAGGAGCAAAATTATTGAATTATAACTTTATACGTACTTGCATTTTATTACAATATAGTAGAACCTCGATAAATTAATAACATTGTTTACATAACTTTTTTTTTCCTGATCGGACTTGAGTCCGAACGCAACATGCTAAAAATATTTCATTAAATTAATATTTCGCTAGATTAATATAATTTTGTCTGATCCCAACTATATTAATTTATAGAGGTTTAACTGTATATTATTTTATGTGCTTTAGTTAATATAAATTATAAATTTATATATATTAAGCACAAATAATGACGTGCGGGGGTGCCTTCAAAATCAAAAGATAATTAAAATTATGTAAAATTTTCAACACGAAAAATTGTTCGTCCTCTGAGTTAAACTTCTAATCCAACTTAAATCAGATAGATTGGATGCATTGTGACAAAGTTATAACTACAAATTCCGAATTTGGAGTTTCGCCAAATTCAAGCTCGAAAATGCTATGCCACAATAAATCATTACATTGTTCCAAAAATAAATTAAATACTAACAACAAATAAATTGAATTAGCCATACATACATTTGGCTAAAAGTCTAAATATTCACTCACTCGGACAACAATACCAATAATAAACTGTTGTCCATCAGTAACAACCACTTGATTCAAGATAGTCCCTCAGTCGCAATCCTTCCGGTTCTTTCTGGAACTTTCGAGACTCGATGTAATTCCGTATAGACGTTTTGACCATGCTCATCTTCGCATTCCGAGAATCCGAACCGCCTTCTTTTAACGCGACGAAAAAATCACGAGCAATTATGTTCATTAATTTCTCAAACTGATTTTTGTACCTTCGGTACAGCGCAAATCCGGCCATCTGTAGCACCAAAAAATCTCTTCGTATCATTGTTGACAAAATAGATGATATTTATTTGGGTAAATTACAACCACCCCTGAGGTGTGGTCAATTTACGAAAAAAACCCCTCTTGTTTGGATAATTACATCTACCCCTCAATTATGATTTTTTTTTTACACCACCACCCTTCTGGTGTCAAATTCAACATAATCATCTAGATTTCGTGGAATGTGCTCTAGTTTGTACTCGTTTGGTGTAAAAATACAGTTTTTAATGCAATATATACAAGACAAAAAACACATCTTATGATCATCTTACTTCAAAATGTGGAGCTCGAATGGGATAAAACGGGTACAAAAGTGATAATATTGCATATAATCTAGAAGATTCCACTAAATTTGAAACCGCAAGGGTGGACGTGTAAGAAGATTTATAGTTGAGGGGTGGTTGTAATTACCCAAATAGGAGGGGGGGTTTTCGTAATTTGACCATAGCTCAGGGGTGGTTGTAATTTACCTTATTTATTTTAATGTAAGAGAAAATAAGTTCGGCATTTAACTTACTTCAAGAAATGAATTTAGCGCAACTGCAGTAAACAAATTTGCCGGAAGATTATTCAAGAATCTCGCAAGCCATGCCCAGCCTTCTGCTAGTCCGTGCATGTTCTGAAAGCCTCCGACCTCAGCCTGCCAATTAAAAATAAAAAAAAAAACACAAAAAATTAAATAACGAACGTAAAATCTTGGATCAAGCGAGTAAAAATATAGCCAATACCTGAACTATAGCTCCATAGAGTTTCATATAACAACTCAATTTGTCTACGTACTCGTCGGTACTCTCAATTTTCCCATCATTTTCTTCATAACCAATTGCTTTGAAGTAAGCGTCTTTGGTTTTAAATGCTTCCTGTACGAGTTGAGACAGTTTGGTATATGGACCAGCAGAATATAAATAAGAGACATTTATACGAAAGTTAGGACAATGTACCGATGAGTAACTTATGTGCTTCGGAACTGTGTATATACAAACTCCGTTCAACTTAGCAATGAGAATATCCATGGCAAGTGGGATCTGTATTCAGAAAAATAAAAAGAAAAATAAAGTTAGCGAAGTTTAAATTCAGGATTAAATCAGCAGAGAATAATTACGGAGTTCTGCAAATATTAATTAATCATTGCAATTGTGTTTGGAGATAGAAAAGTTGCCGTAGAGGACTGACTATTTCAGGCTAAAAGCAATCAAACAAACACCTGTTGAAGTTAAAATGTGCATGTAGAAACATGATCGTAAAATTATAAAGATTATGTAAAATTTCAATTAGCCTTGCATCTTTTCGTAGAAATAAGTATATAGCCATTGTCGCAATTTTTCTTCAAAATTTGTAATATTTAAGGAGTACTCTTCCTTATTAGGGCAAACAAGGATTTAACGAGGCCCCTCCGTTGGTAATTCAATAAAATATTTTTTGGCCAAACGACAAAAAAAAAAAAAAAAAAAAAAAAAAAAAGAAGGTTCTGTTGAAAAAGTGCTCCGAGACTGAAGTATATAAAACAACGTAACGATCAGAGCTGCACTTTATTCACTTAGGCCCCGTTTGGTTGGCAAGATAAGATTAGCCAAGATAAGATTAAATAATCTAATGAAACCCCATTATTTTATTGGAGCTTGCAACGTCCAACAAAAAAAACTCATTAGAAGGCAAGATAAGCCATGATTATATAATTTTGGCGGGTCGACCCGGCAATTTATTGGGGATACCAAACATCAAATTAAGTCCAACTATTTAGTTAATCTTGGTTTATCTTGGCAACCAAACGGGGCCTTATGATACTAAATTAAATAGTTAAAACAACTAGCAGCTGGAGAACTGTTTGGAATATGTATTACCTGAGATGTAACGAGAACAATGACACGACTAGTAGCAAATAGGGCATTGGAGGTCTTTTCATTGGTGCAGCAGTTGGAGATAATCTGCAATTATAAGCGCATCGACACCAGCTTTATTGAGAATGATATAATGTTTCCATATAAATAAAACAACAAATACAAATAATTTTTTTTCGAGCAAATAAAACATAAAATACGAAACATTTTCGTAGTGGTAGATGAAATTACCTTTTCTGCAAATAACTGGATACTGATTGGCTGAGGACACCCTGGGCCATTAATTAGGCTCACTAGTTCTTCTGCTTTTGTCCTGGAAAAGGAATCTCTAATTTACAGACAATATAGAAATAAGTCTTATATAAACCGGATAAAAGAAAAGCTAGTTTTTTTTTTACTGTAAACAGTGACTTGGCAAATCGAACTACCTTATATTTTCTACAGTAGCTGAGATTGTTTTAATTTGTCGACCAATATTCAGTCCATGTCTGTGATAATCCTGAACAGAATAAAGCAAGCGAGTTAGGCTCGTTGCAATAATCGAAACTATCCCAATCTACAAATTCATTCCGACATAAACACACACACACACACACGTGCGTGCAAACTTAGATAATTCATATAGGGTGCTGCTTGATTTTGGCAGAATAAAAGCAACTCTGGAGTTTCAGAAAATTCAACACCGTTCTCTTTACAATGGTTTAGCTGATTAGTACTCACTTGCAGGGCATTGTTTTTTGCCGATAGTTCTTCGTAAATTTGCCGCCTTCTCTTTTCTAATTCAAGAGCATTTTCTGAAGCTCTAATCAAATTTCTTGCTGCCACAAAGTTGACAATATTACGTGTGAGAATGAAATCAACTATATAAAAATATAACTCTTAGATGCAGAGAACTTTAACAAACCTGGTGATTGGAGTTCTTTCTCGACATTGACTGCAGAACTGGATGGTCCAAGAGGTTCCTTAGGAACTCCAACTGCATTATGTGCTGTTTCGTTATCAAGTCTTGATGCAGCTTCTTCTGCAGCTGCAGCTTTCTTCTCAGCTTCTACTGCAGCTGCTTTCGCTCTGTCAGCCTTTTCAGCTTTTAGTCTGGCCTGCATATCACGAAATAAATTCAGTTAAAACAGGTTGAATATTGCAAAAGCTTCAAACTACAATAAGCATGTATTATGTGGCGAAAAGCAAAAAGGTTAAATCAAATTAAGATACACGAAAAAAGAACCTCCTCTTCTGCTTTGATCCTTTCTTGTCGTATTTTTTCTTCCTGAAGAGCCTTTTCCTTTCTTTTAGCATCCTCACGAGCAGCATCATCTCTTATTTTTCTCTCTTCGAGTTGGGATATGTGCTCGTGATCTCTCTGTACAGCTGTAAGGTGATTATCGAGTGCCTCTGCACTGACATAGTTATGGAGAAATATCAGAACAACGTTCTCTTAAGTTCATATATTTTAAAACAATGTATACGAAGCAAATTGGTCCACAGAGCACATGATCTCATTCAAAATTTGTTCAGCTCTTGCAATTAATTGCATTTGTGGGACACTTCAAACATGCGTGTCGAAATAAAATCTCGATCAACTTACTTCAATATTTGATGGATAAATCAAAATAACTTAAAAAAAATTACCAAATTACGGAATATCCTTACATTGTGCGTCGATACTGCAAATCAATTTTTCTCTCCCTCTCTTGTTGCAGTTCTCTATGTTTGTCGACTTTAATTGTTAAAGATGCAAATCTATCATTTTCGTTAACAAGCTCAGTCTCCAAAGACAATATTTTGGATCTCACTTCCTCCTGTTACGAAGGCAACAATAGAAACTAACATCAGGTAACTACAGGATGCGATTTCAGCATACACTTCGTCAAGTGATATAAACAAAAAATATGTGAAAATTAACGATCGCAGAATGCCCAGAATCCAAGGATAACACAAGCCTTACATATAATGAAATGAAAAAAAAATCACGACCTTTGAAAACCGTAGGTTTTAATCTCAAAAGCAAATATCGAGTTGACCAAATCATTCAGAAAACACTTGGAAGAACTTTAGATTCATTAAGCATGAGTTTGGTTTCTCAATATAACAGAGGTTTAGTACACAAAAGCCCATTTGGAGAAGTCAGAATCAATAATCTGCTGCAGTCACAATGTCGTTCTTCAACAAAATTAGCAAGAAAGAAACAGAATTGTTATGGTTTAAGCATCAATGCTTCTACAAAATTCAAAATTCAAATAAGTACTTTTACCTACCGTTACACTAAGTTGAAGCTCGTGTGTTAGCTCGTGGAGTGCACCTTCTGCTAATCCCACTTTATCCATCAGATGACATTGCACTCCAAGAGATATCTCGCTTTCAGAATCATCGCTGCCAATAAAAAGGATAATAATTTCAACAAAATCTTCACAGATTAGAAAACAAATGTCCGACTACAAAAAACATATATATATATATATATATATATATATATATATATATATATATATATATATATATACACACACAGAGAGAGAGAGAGAGAGATAGAGAGAGAGAGAGAGAGAGAGAGAGAGAGAGAGAGAGAGAGAGAGAGAGAGAGAGAGAGAGAGACGTGGATTAATTGCCGGGTAGCAACTAATTATCACAACATTGCACTTTTTCTCGCTCACGTAGTCTGAAAATGATCACGCAGTGAAACACAAACCTTATATCGAGCTCATCACAAACAAATCTTCTGCCAGAAACCATGGATGAATTATCAGCCTCCTCTTCACTATCACCATCACTGTAGTCACTTTCATAATCCGGTACATGCATCGAAAAGCCCCTTGCAGAACCATACTTGTTCTTTGGGGCTCTTATTTCCCTGTAAATAATTTATGTTTGTCATAAATTACCACAAACGAGATACATACTAACAAGAAAAGTCGGAGATTTTTACCTAGGTTGCTTTTTGGTGAAAGCTGAAGGAAAATTTGAAGTTACATTGAGCTTATTGTCTATTGATTCGAGCTCCAATAATAAATTGTCGAAACTCCAATCTGGTTGCGGATCAGCCGCAATGCCGTTGACATTTTGCGAAGAACGAAGTTCCAATTTGATGGCTCCCCTGATGATTTTAACAAGGAAACGCATATTGAGTTTCTTTCCCTCGTGTATTTCCCAATACAGAAAATATAAAAATTAAACAATTCTACATAAAGCCAATGCGAATAATCGTGCAAAACTGATGCTCTCTGGTGTAAACAAAACTTAAGCTAAGAACGAAATCAAATTATAGTGAACAAAATTAATGTACTTCAAACAAGGAGATAAAGGGAAAAAACTTACATCTTTTTCTCACAGAGATTGCTCTTTTTTCTCTCTCTTAAACTCTCTGCTGGAGAATGTAAAATCAACAAAACATCAGCTTTTTCATAAAGGGTTAGATTATTTTGCTAATACTATTTTTCCTATACACACTCCAAAAATTGCATTTAAAAAATATATCTTAATCAAAAATTCAAATTTACCATCCAACAATTTTGATTACAAAAATCAACATTAAACAATTTGGATACTCCTAAACTCACAACACTACACTACACAAAAACTTCGATTTCAAATTCAATTCAAACAAATTTTCCAATGCTCTTCAGAATCCAATTTCCAAGTTTTAGGTTTTGAAATTCGATTTACACACAAAAAGAAATCAACACATGTACAAGATTCAATTTCAAAAGCAAAAAAAATATAAATTTCGATCTTAGAATCAAACCTGTTAACTTCAATTGAAAATTTAATTTGCTTTCTGGTAGTTCTTGTTACAGACACGGACGGACGGTCGGCGAGGTGATGAGCTTTCGACGGCGGACGGCTGTGACAGGCGGCGGTGTTGGAGTGTGAATAATTAGGGGAATCAATCAAATAAGATATATACAACAAGGAATTTAGGGTCCTGCCTGAATTGCAGTCGCGTGGAACTGCAGCGGTTCGAGTAGAGAAGAAGGGTGGCGCGTACAAGGCAAGCGCTAAAAGGTGTTTTGATACGTTGTTGGAAATTTGAATGGGCGAGTAAATTTTTAATTAATTACATTTAGGTCACTTCTTTTTTTATTATTATCATTTCTCCTCTTAATTGTTTTTTGAAAGCCCAAATATTGTACAAGGTATAGAAAGGTCAAAAATATCCTCAATGATAGTAATAATATTAATAATTATAATAAATAAATAAGAAAAATGATAAAATATAATACAAATAAATAAAGGCTACGATTATTGTAGTCTTGATTTAACAAATTAAATTTAAAACAATTCCCTCCAATTCTACAAATTAAGCCTATGTTCAAGTATTTTCCAAATACTACCCCTATATTGTCTATTTTTGTAGAAAAAAAATTAATATGCATATAATTAATGACCATACAATTAATAATTAAGCATATTATAATTAATTTTCAATATACTACCCTTATAGTGTCTAAGTTTCTAGAAAAAAATGAACATATATTAATATATGCATACGAGATTTTGATACCACTTGCTGCAGGTCGAAACCCCATCTCAAAAATTACACATATATATAATTAATATGCATTGAGTACATCGATCATTTGACATCGCGTTTATTTAAAAAACAAACAAATAAAAACCATTAATCTAATTGAGATTAATTAACCCTAATCGAACCAAGTCAAAAGATCGTAATTAAATGAAGTGGGATTAGAGACATCGTTTTGGGATGGGAAGAAATTGGGATTGATATTATTATAATCAGCTTGTTGGTGTTCTTCTTCTTCATTATTAATATTGTTAATAATCCGAGCTTGAATTACTGCGATTCGAGCTCGAATTCTTGCGAGTTGGCACTCTGCATTTTGTATCTGCTGGTGCAACATAGTTATCTGTCCAACGCAACCATACACGGGATATTTTATTCTGTAAGAAGCTTCCTTGAACAACGACTCCGCTGCTTCCGCTCTAAGATTCACCGGGAGATCCTATTTTTTTTTTTAAACAAAAAAAAATCCCATAAAAAATAAAATATTTAGAGGAGAAATGAAATTAGAATAATAATAATAATTAATAATTACGTGGAGAATCTTTCCGACGTTACTAGCACCGTAGATCTTGTGAACATAAGCGAATCGTCGAGGATCGTTCGATGGGAAATAGGGAGAGAATATGCAATCGGATGGGCATCTTCTTCTTAAATGTTTGCATGCTGCACAACGGCTTGAATTCATATTAATTAATTAAATTATTTAATTAATTAATATATATTTATATTGTTGCAAAGATTAATTCAAGAATTGTTGGAGAAAATCTAATGGGAGATTCTTGGTTTTTCATGCATGGTGGACTATTTATATGAAAATTCAAGAATTTGTAACGGCTAGGAATTATTAAATTTGAAATCTAGGAGTAGTTTAATTAGGAATGTGGGGTGCAAATTTGGTTGATTAATTGCTCCAATTCATGCAATTGGTTTGGCAAACAATGTATGTTTTATTTGGAAAATAATTAGTTTCTTGTGATTGGCTATGGAAATTAATTATGATTTATGAAGTCATGGAAAATTCATATTTACAAACAAAATTTTAAAAAAAATGAAAAGTTAAAACTCAATTTCATCCTACGAATTTAATGAGATGTTGGCCTTGTAGTGTTTTATGTTAATTGAATTGATTTAAATCCAATTAGCAGAAATCCAGTTTATTACTCTAATTCTTTTAATTGCACATATTTACATCAAAGATTATATGAGATTGGATTAATTCCATACTGACTAATTAATTAATTAGTTAGTATGATGTTTCGTATGCCAAGTTAGATTTTGTATTAAATCTGTTAAATTCTGCTATCATATGTGATTTGTCTATAAAACATTTTATTTAATAAAATTAACATGTAGTTTGAAGGATAAAATATTTTTTACTTGTTTAGTCATCCCAATTAAATTAATTCTATGGGGGAGGGTTGCTACTAATTTAATGAAATAATAGCATATAATAGCCGACTTTGATTTTAGTAGTGGATTTCAAAAAAATGTGAATCTTGTCAGCTGAATGTGTTACTAGCCCCTACTATTTAGTCAATAGAACATTATAACAGTAATCAAACGAGCCATAAATTAAAAGGATATTGATAACCCCAACTCATTTGGTATAATAAGGGCGAATCACACTCTTTTGTTTTATTAATGAAACTCCCTTTAATTATTAATAATTATCATATTACTACTTAATATACCTAATCTACCCTCAAACATCAGTACACAATCGATTGTATTTCCCTTCTTCTCTCCACAAGATTGCTTCA